CGTTCCCGAGCACGCTCCTGCTGGGCGCGAAAATTTGCCAGCAAACCCCACAATCACAACGCTAAAGGACTTAGCGAAATTTGACAAGACTGACTACACGTAGGGTTAACCCAATCTTATCGCGAAGTGAACCTGGGACAGGTCCTGCAGCGGATCTGATTTCTCCATCCGCGAGGGGATGCTCAGCATAGGACCAACTGCTCGCAAAGCAGCTTGAGTGGTTGAACTGTTGCAAGCCGCACCAATGTGGATCCGCACATCGCGAAAGTAGTTGATCGCGCTGGCCCCAAAATTGAGCATCTCCGACAGCATTTGCTGGACGGTTGCCCCGGATGAACTGGCAGTCGCCGCCTTCTCGGGGCGTGGTGGTTTGCTCACCCGCGCCTCCCGTTCAGTAATCACCAGAGGCAGCTGCTGCGCCGGCTGCGAGGATTGTTCGGGCACCCGCGGTGCCTTTGTAGGCCTCTCCGCAACCAATGGTTGCTCCACCTCCTTACTCTTTGCGCCGCTAGGTTGCGCACCTTCCTTCTTCTTCTTCTCTGCACGCGGAGCCCGCGGAGCCTTCACCACGTCGTCAACCGACATCATGCTCACTAGTGAAGAGAAGTCAACAGTCAACACCTGCGCCAATAAGTCGTAAGACGACCGTTAATACGACAGAATGCAAAAGGAAAGAAATATAACTAACCATCAACAAAGAGCTCCTCCAAGCAAGCCGCGCGGACTCCGTCGGAGTACAAGTTTATCCTCTGAGGCATGCAGGCCTCATACTCTTCATCGAGCCCATCGTACTTGCCAAACTCTGGCTCAAAGCCGTGTATGCATCCTTTCTTTCAAACAGTCGGATCCTCCACATACTCACTGGCCCACTCCCCCGGAATGGTCTTCACGAAGAAAAACTGCTCAAACTAGTTCTTCTCCAACTTGGGGGACCCATACACGTAACCATCAGGCCGCTTGTCTCGCCGCCTAATGGAGAGATAGTCTCTCTTCTCCGTGGGCCCTTTTATCTTGTATATCTTCCGGAACAGCCCATAAGATGGTTGAATATTAAGCCTTTTGCACACAAGGCGGAGACAGGATACGTGCATGATCACATAAGGAGACAAGCGCGCGACTGAGTAACTTAGATGCCTGTACAGAGCACACAATAGCGGGTCGATGGGGAATTTGAAGCCCATCCTCCAATACTCTGAATATACGCCAAACCATCCTGGGGGACAGTTCCCAATCCGACTCCGCGCGGTGGGAACTGCATACTTCCAATTGGGGGGAAACCCCAACCCGCGCACTAACACTGTCACTTATCGTCGCCCATACACCGACACGTGGTCTGGTACGCGTACCAAATTGTCACTCGGAACCTGCCTCGCGTCGAACATCTCCTCCCAGTCCAAGATCGTGTACGCGGCCCCCACCCCATGCATGCCAAGACGACTCATCGCCTCGGTCACGCGGGAAACACAGAGCAGCTCCGACGATGTCTCTGATGTTTCTGGGACATCAACAGGAGTCGCGCCTGACCCGCTCGCGCGTTCGCGGCGGATTATCAATACCCCCCGTGCTCGCGTGCTCGCCTCACCACTTGCATGCTCCGCCATCCCCACACCGGAGAAGCCATGCAACAGATCCTGGCCGAAATTGACATTGTATAACGGCGTCGCCGGAGCGCCTCCTTCATCCGCTCCGTCGCCGTGAATGTTGTCGGAATCGGCCAGATCCAGAGACGGATCAGTAGAGATATGAGAAAGGGGTAAAAGATTACCTTCTTAGTCTGGTACGACCCTATCTGGTTGTTCACATCGGTGCTGGACATTGTGCTCCGGGAAATAACACGAACAATCTCGAGATTTAAGGTCGTCGGAGAAGAAGAGGAATCTCGTTGGCAGAGAAAAACCAGAGAAACGAAGTAGAAATGGGAGAGAAGAGTAACTACTCTCCGTAAAAAGAGGAGTATTTATAACCCACAGAAGGGTAACCGAAGGGTTAAAGTTGCATGGGGGATCGGAAACGTCAGAAATTTTGAAATTCAAGAAGTCTCCGCCCAAACGAGTGAATGACAAGGTGCCACGTCAGCACCTATAAAACGTAGGGGCCAGGCGATGATGTCATAGGGTAAACACACCGTCTGGGGGCATGGTGTACCTGCGGAGAGGGAAAAATACACCCGAAAACCAAGGCGGAGAAGCCCAAGAAGAAAGGCGGAGACAGCGAGAAGATTGGGCACGAACAACCAAGGGTAAGAAAGCGGACGAGTAGCGCAAGGAATCGAGCCCGGCGCGCAAGACTCGAACAGGCGGCATTCACAGAATACTCCCTGATGGGGGGCGATTGGTGGGGATATGGCTTGGATCCAATCGCGCAAGCAAGACAGCCCAGCGCGCTCGCGGAAAGAACCTCCCGCGGCATGGAGCTCCGCGAGTAAAGACGCATCCGCGAGTGCCAGAGGGGCTAGACGGCATCGTTTTGCTCCACCCAAGCCGGTGTCGTTTTGTAAACGCCACACGGCGTCGTTTTGCTCTACCCAAGCCGGCGTCGTTTCGCTTAATTCCAACTGAGAGAGGAAACCGGGAAGGATGCCGCCGTATCCTCTGAAGGAGCGGTCACATCCTAGTCCTAGGTATAATTATGGCATAAGGCATGACCTAAATGTCTGACACATGTAGTAGTCATGTCATATTAAATGTCCACCAACTGCAATGTGGCCTATAAATAGAGCATTTACTCCGGTGGGTGAGGAGATCGGATTTTTGACTCTATCACTACAAAGAATCAACTTCTCTCTCTAAGATCTCACTCTCCCAATCACATTCTCTTGTAACCTTGATCCTCCAACTAAATAGAAGGTTCTCATTGCTTGCTCTTCTCACCCCATTTTCCCCGAGTCTCACTCCTACACTCAGTTAGGCTCAAACAATAAGTATTTTAGCTCCTAAATGACTTGCCATGCTTTAATTGGCTTCGTAGCTACTTATGATTTATGAATTAGTAGCCTTGCATTCCTTGATTCGTTGCAATTTTCTAATAATTAGATCACTTTCAACTACGTAAAAATACAAATATAACTGAACCTAATCTATTGTTACAGATAGTATTCACTATAGATAATGAGTAGACATTATAGCTTTGAACAACAGGATCTATGCCAGTATACAAAGATGATCTTACACTTGGTTGAACATAGCAGAACTAATGGCTTCTCGTCATTCTCCGATGACACGCTGATTCTCATGCCATTAGTCTTCCCATTTTCTTGCACATTCGCAGTGCCATTCGTTCCCAATCAATACCCGTGGTACATCAAATTCTCGATTTTATAATTTGTGATTACATATGGGGTTCCGCGGGTACCCGTTATCCATCCCGTACTGGTAATAAGTACCCGTTATCCGTACGGGTTTGGGATATGGGATGGAGTTTTCTCTTCAAATGGGAATGGGTACCCGTTGTCGACCCTTACTTAGCCAAGGTTCAGGTATTGTGCTCCTCTCTCCAGTGTGCCTCGATTCACTTCATTTCGCGCAAGTATAATAAGGTTGCCAATGTCGTGGCATAAAATAAGCCCTCTCGTTGTTGGATCACCTTTTGGTTGACCAGCATTCCTTTCCTTTGTTTTATCATTAGACTTGCAAAGGTCCTTTACTCGTATATTGTTGTTTTCCATTTTGAGACACCTATGACAAAAAAAGAGTTAAGATTCTATTTAAATATTCAAATAGGTAATTGGTCTTTTTTTTCTAACTAATAATTATCAACTCATAATTACATTATTTTACTATTATATAACTAATAAAATAACATATCTATCACACTTTCCGATATACGTTTTCCCTCTTACTTTTCCTTCACTTTCATCCATTAAAAAACATTTTCTTTCCCCTTTAAAATCTCCCTCCGCTCCTTTTACCTCCCCTCCAAATTTTCCTCTTCCACTCCATTTTTCTTCCTTCCTTCAGGATTAGAGTGTAAGGGTTATGTGAAAGAATCTGCTAATGTTGCCAAGCAAGAGGTTATGAAGGTTTATGGTCAGTTGTCCGATAATGAAGCTCGTCAAGTTGATTGGTCTTCTTTTTCAATTGTAAGAGGGTTGAAGAATCTCAGAAGAACATGTTACTTGAATGTGGCACTTCAATACCTCTTCTACACTCCCTCTTTTGCTACTTTTTTCTCTTCCAGTATGATGCCGCAAATGGAACACATTGAAGTGGTATGTAACTTTGTTTGTTATTCTTTTTCTTCTTTACCATGTTCTAAGTATACTTCTTTTATAGGTGGTTGCAGACTCATTGCCATTGGTACAGGTATTCAAAGATATGTATATTTCTCCCAGAACATCAGTTTGTGCAGACTACGTCAAAAGGATATCTCTGAGTTTGCTCCCAATTTTTGTGACGACCAGGAATAAGATACTCAAGTAAGTACTGGTTTTTTGGTTTCCGTTTTTGTTCTGTTCTTTGAGAAATTAACTTTTAAGCATCTCCATCTTATTTTGTGCAGGAGTTTCTTCGTCTTTTGCTTAATCATCTACATGGTGAATTGGAAGCGGATTTTAATATCCTGGAAGGCGATACTATTATCTCCAAACTCTTTCAAGTAAGTATTTCACAATGCGTGTTTTTTGTTAGGATTTATTTTTATTGTCTAATCATTTGTATTTTGACATTAGGGTGAACAGTCGATTGTCTTGAATTGCGAGAGCTCGGGATGCGATTCTTCTACCAGATATATGAAGTTTACAATTCTGTCACTACCGATACTTCATGTCCTTGCAAGAGTTTCATTGCTTTATTGTGGGGTGGCAGAACGGTTTCCGGTTAACAGTTAACCGGACGGTTTCAACCAAACCGACCAATTTTCGACTAACCCAAAAATCGTTTTTGCTTGCATCAGTCGGTTGGCGGTGGAGATGGGAAGGGGTTCGGCTAGCCGACTAACCGGGGTCAGAAACCGGCGGTTAACCGGCTAACCAACCCCTTCCCTTTCCCCAAAACGACCCCGCTTCAATCCTCCTCCTCCCTAACCCTAAGTCGACTCCCTCCTCCTCCCAAAGCATTCGACCTTCGCCGCTCAACCCTTCCGCCCTTCCCCCTTCTCGCGCAGCGGCGCAAAAAACCTCCAGCCACCGCCTCCACCTCGTCGCCCTGCCACCAGCAACAGCCAGGCGACAACCGGCCGCCTCCACCCTCGTCGCCCTGGCGAGCCCTAATCTGATGGAACATCGACCCCGCCTTCCTCCCTCCGTCGGCCGCGAGCCAGCCCTCCTCCCTTGCCGGCGCTAGGTACGAATTCACGCTAAAGAACAAGCCCCACTCGAGATTAATCCCGGCGAGCTCAATCAGCCAATCGATGTCCCTCAGGTTCGGAATTCTTTCCCCTCCTTTCTTTTGACGTAATCGGAGCGCAGTTTGTCCCATCTGCCCTGAAATTCGTGTTTGCGGCGTCGTCCGTCTGAGATCTTGTCGTTAACTGGCGGTTAAATGCGTGGCAGCTGACTGTTCACAAATGTAATGAGTGTGGGCAGCCGTTGCCGGAAGACTTTGCGCAGCCGGCCGACGAGCCTTGGAGTACTGGTGGAGAAAGGAAGGAGAGAAGAAGAAGTGGTTTGGTGGGTGTGAAATGGTGGAGGAAGGAAGGAGAGAGAAGAGAAGTGGTCCGGTGGAGGAAGGAAGGAGAGAGGAGGAGATAAGGATTGAGATGAGTGGTGCAGAATTTTTATTTTTTAATTTTTTTTGGTAGAAAAGCTAGTTTTCCAGTTGGCCGGCTAACCGAGCCTAAAACCAAAACCGACCGGTCGGTTGGCCGGCTAACCGTGACCTCTCTTACGGTCGGTGGTCGGCAGCTATAGGGAGTGGCTCGGTTTAACCGATAACCAAGTTTTCAGTTAGATGACAATTAGATGACAATCCATGGTGAGTAATTAGATGACAATAGGCGTGAACAATTAGATGACAATCCATGGTGAGTATGAGTGGTTTAATTTACTTGTTTCAGTCTGCATCTGGGGAAAAGTTGATTCACAGGTTGTATAGTTTTGAATGTTTAGTGATTTCACCTTTTTTACGTAGGGCTTGCACGCATTGTGGTCGGTCGACACCAGCATTTAGGCAATAAACAATTTCCAAAGGTGTTATCCCTATGTTTGGCAATAAGGAGTGCAAGTTGAGAGGTAAATTGTTGGGGGTGCAAGTGGAGGGGTAACTTGTTGTTTGGATAAAAAAGTAGGGGTGCAAATAGAGTGAAAAGTAAGTAATTATATTATTATAAAATAGATTTTTCAAAATTTTAAAATATTATCACACAAAATAGTATAAATCAATGCAGTTAAAAGCGCGATTCTGCCTAGAAGCGGAAAATGGGTAAAATCGTAAAACGTAGAATCAAAGCGTAAAATCGTAAGTTTTTTACGCACCCTCTAAAATAGCTAAAATATGTTAAGTACAACATATAGTATGTAAAATGTGAGTGTGTAGATTTTAGATAAGTGGATAACTACATGAAATTCATAATTAAAAGGTAATATCTAACACATAAACTAATTTGCGTTGACTCAAAAGTAGAGAAAACTCATAGCATCTTAATAATAAGCTCATAAACGTAGATCGTAACCCGTAAATGAGCTTGAGAATCCAAATTCTCATAAGTTGGTTTAGGGACAAGATACAGTGACAACCCCTAAGGGGGTTGTCAAATTGACAACCCAGGGTATTTTGGGTATGAAAAAAGGAATATATTAATTACTTTTTTTGTATTAATCAGATTGGAAATTAAAAATCCATATTAAATACAATTTTTTTTTTTAAATTTAAATCCTATACATTAATATCTCTATCTATCTCTCTCTCTTTCTCCTGCGGCCACTCCGCTTCGATAGACAAACTTTTTCTCCAGCGAATTTTCTCCGGCAGACTCCCTCCGGCAACCTGAAAAATGTACCAGTGCATTAAAAAGTGTACCAATCCATTAGTCTACTGGTAATAAATATACCAATGCTAGTGGTACGCTACTAGTGCGTTAAAAAATGTACCAGTGCTAGTAGTACGCTACCAGTGTTAGTGGTACGGTACCATTACCACTTGTAGCGGTACCATTAGCGGTACCAGTACCACTAGTAGCGGTACCAGTACCACTAGTAGCGGTACCAGTATCACTGGTAGCGGTACCATTGCCACTGGTAGTGTACCACTAGAGACTAGCACAAAAAAAATCAGATCTGAAATATGAAAAATCAAAGATATGAAAAAAAAATCAGGGATGACGAAAGGGGGAGGCAGGGGAGAGGCGGTGACCTCGTGGTGACGGTGGTGGTGGGAGACAGAGGGCGGCGGGAGGGTTGCGACGACGGTGGTGGTGGGAGGAGGAGGCTGCGATGGCTGTGGGGCGAGGGACATGACATTGTTGGGAGGCGGAGGACTCGACGACGGGAGGGCTGCAGTAGTGATGAGAGGAGGAGGGCGTGGCGGTTCGGCAGGACGGCTGCGACAACGGTGGTGGCAGCTAATAGAGAGAGATAGGACGGCTGTACCATTGATTTGAAAAAAAAAAGAAAGAGACAAGAGAGAGAATGGATCCTATGGTTATAAAATGTGTTGCAATCTCACAACCCCCTAATGAGGTTGTCACCGTATCTCATCCCGCTGGTTTAAGTTTACATAATTACATACGATCAATTACCCATAAACTTTCATTGTAACCCAGGTAAGAGCCACATGTGAAGATTAAGGGAGAAGACTGATAAAAGGTCAGTGAATGTTGAGAATACCATTAGGTGTCTTTTCAACATAATGTGAAGCCCCTATTTCGACACTAGTTGTAGAACGAGTGATGAATCATGTTTTCCTTTCTTTATTTTTGGCTGATATGTCTCCAAAATTACATCATTTTGGGCCAATTAGCACATTTTTATGAGATGATCAAAATCGTATAAAAACGCTTCAGAATCGCGATTTTATCGATTTTACCCATGTTTTTACCAGTTTTTGTACTAAGCGACTTTAGGTATGGTAAAGGAAACCAGATCGTACCGGCCGGTTGAACTGGTAAAATGGGAAATCAGCGTCTGGCCGATACGATAGATGGTTCGTAGTGAAAGAGTCGTTCCGGCCGGTTTTACCGGTAAAACCGGCTCAACTCAAAAAACCGGGCGGTTTTGGTCTAACCGGGGGTGAGCTGATAAGGAGGACACGACGTCGTTTTGCATTAGGGGAAAAAAAATCGGCCGAAGCCTCAAAAACAAAACCCTAAATCATCGGCCGCTTCGATTGCTGCTGCTGGCGACACGAATCCTCTTCTTTTCGAGCGGCGACCCTCCCTCCTCTGCTCGACCGGCGATCCTCCCTCCTCTTCTCGACCGGCGATCCTTCCTCTTCTGCTGGCCACTACTCCGCCGCTGCTCCGCGACGCGTCTCCGGCACCGGCACGCGTGCCCCTCCCCTGCTCAAGAAGAACACGGCGGCAGCAGGTAAAGGAAACCCTGAACTGATCGCGAATACCCTACTCAACAAGTACAACTGCCTTTATATATCTTGTTTCCTACCTTGTGGCATTTTTCCAGAGAATGAATCTGGGAATGATGTATTTACTTGATTCATTCTGATGTCACACCTAATCTACCCTTTCTATCTGGCATGGTTTAACTGTTTAAGTGGAGGGTTTTTTAAACGAGAGGGAAGAGCAAAAGATCATGAGGTATTTGGCTATTTGCTTCCTGTCTAGCATAAGGAGCATTTAGTCAATATGCTTGCAACTTAATTTGTAGTGAACTCTCAATTATTTGTTGTGCTTTCTTTCACTGTATGATTTTTAATCATGTGACCATTACTTAATAAAACTGATTAGTAGACTGAGTTCCTTATCTATAAATTAGTCATTCTTCAGGAGGAATAGCAGCTGTACTCTATTGTCCAATAAATTAAGTAAAAGAAAACTAAAAGAACTGAGTTTTGTGATTAAAACCAGTAGCAAAAAGCAAATTCAGCCGGCTATAATTCATAAGCAACATAGCTTGGTTTGTATCAATTCCTGGTCCATGGATAATTGCAAGAAAGTCTCAGGAGAGCCTATAAAAATCATAACATGGGGCCAACGTCACCTATCAGAAGATCTCAGGAAGTTTGTGGTGCTCCTAGTATTCCTGCCCTGTATGTTTTTTTGTTTCAATGTTCTGCCCTTTATTCTAATGAGAATTTTGGCTGTTTTGACAGCAATGGCTAGTGGAAAAGAAGCCGGATCGGTTGATAAAGGAGAAACTGCTAGTAATCCGAAGGTTACCGCAAAGGGTGTACGAAGCAAAAGTGATCCAACTTGGGCTCATTGTTCATTGCATCAGGATGGAAAAGTGGAGGTACTCACTTGTCTCTATTTCAAAAAGAATTTAGAGGCGGAGGAATCACTAGAATGAAAAAACATCTAGCTGGTGTTAGTGGGGATAATGCAATATGCTCAAGTGTTCCAGAAGAGGCGAGCGAAAACATGCAGAAGCTATTGACTAATTATGAAACTAGTAAGAAGAAATCTGAAGTTGTCAAATTTGGATTTAAAGAACCTCGTGATACAAATTCTTCTCGTGCACAAGATGATAATAGTGCTAAAAGAGTTGCTCCTAATTTGTCTACGGGCTCGGTTGACACTTTCTTTGCTCCACGGTCATCTTCCGGTAGTCAACCGGGAATAAAGAGTGCATTAGCAACTAAAGAAGCTGTATTGTATGTGGATCGAGCATGGGCTAGATGGTTCTATGATGCATGTGTTCCTTTAGAAGCAATTAAATCTGCACAATTTAAAATAGCATTGGATGCTTCTATGACTCTTGGTCCTGGTTATGGCGGTCCTACATATTATGCTTTGAGGTTTACTATGTTGGATAGCATTGTGAATGAATGTCACCTATTGATTGAGAGTTTGAGGTCTCATTGGAAGGAATCTGGATGCACTATTATGGTGGATGGTTGGACGGATAATAGGCGTAGATCCTTAATCAATTTTCTTGTGTATTCTCCTGATGGAACATGCTTTGTGAAGTCCATTGATGCTTCTGGTTTGGTCAAGAGTGGAAGTAACTTGTTTAAGTTATTTTCTGAGGTCATTGATTGGGTTGGAGCGGAAAATGTTGTTCATGTGGTGACCGATAATGCATCCAACTATAAATTGGCAGGGACAATGATACATGAGCATTATGGTCATATATATTGGACTCCTTGTGTTGCTCATACCCTTAACTTGATCTTGAGTGACATTGGATCTATTCCTCATGTTAAGAAGCTTGCCTATCGAGCTACCAAGGTCTCCAAATTTGTTTACAATCATGGTCCAATTTATTTCTGGTTGAAGACAAAGGAGAATTGGAAAGAAATAGTGAGACCTGGTGCTACTAGATTTGCTACTACATTTCTGAGTTTGCAGAGTACTTTTGAGCAAATGCATGATTTGGAGGAACTGGTGATTAGTGAGTTCTTTAGAGAAAGTGATCTTTCAAGTACTAAGGATGGAAAGGATGTGAAGGCAATTGTACTAGATCAACAGTTTTGGGCTGATTGTGACTTCATTGTTAAGTTGACAGCTCCGATTGTTAATTTGCTTCGAGTTGTGGATTCAGATAGTAAACCAGCAATGGGGTATGTGTATGATGGGATGACTAGGGTGTCAAATGCTATTAAGACTGTTTGTGGAGATAAGGAGGAGATGTACAAACCATACATGGATATCGTTAATAGGAGATGGGATAAGCACTTGAGCCGTGATTTGTTTATGGCAGCTCACTATCTTAATCCGGCTATGAAGTATACTGAAGATTGGACAGAGGATAGGGCAGTGACATTTGGACTTCTTAATCTTCTTGAGAACTCGTATTTAAAGGAAGGAAACTTTGGGAGGAGGATGGCAATAGATTCTGCGCAGAAACAACAACCAGGTAATTAATATCACTTACATTGAAGTTCTTCTATTTATTACAATATTTAAGAAACTAACATCTATGTTTTATATGTAGATAAGTGGTGGAAATGGTTTGGCATTGATGCTCCAAATATTCAGAAGTTGGCTATTTGAATTCTTAGCCAAACTGCTGCTTCTTCTGGTTGTGAACGTAATTGGAGTGTCTTTGAACGTGTGCATACCAAAAGAAGAAACAGATTGCAGCATAAAGTGCTTAGTAACTTGGTGTTTGTGAATTACAACTTGCGATTGCAGAATAGGTAATGATTTGAATTATAGAACTTGTATGTTGAATTCATACTTTCTATGCTTACTATTGAATTGAATTATTTTATGTTTTCTACTTTGATTAGGGAGTATTATACCAATAACAAAAAAGAATCATATGATCCCATAAGCCTTGAAAGCATTGATTCTACTGTTACTAGTCACTGGTTGTCAGAAGGGGAAGAAGGTTCATCTTCTAGGGAAAAGGAATTGGATATTGATGAGCTGGATCGAGCATTAGAAGAGGAAGGTTTGTTTGTAAATCAATTATGTATGATATGAATTCTAATACTAATAATTGATAATAATTCTTACTTGTTTTCTCTTGTATTGTAGTTGGTGATGAAGAAGATGAAGGGGACGACTTGCAGAATGTAGACTTATCTACATTTGGTGTTGTTTGACGATATGAAACGTTGTTTGTGAACATTGTAGTGCTTGCTAGTTTATGTTTGTTGTAGTTGTGAACTTGTGGTTTGAGAATGTTGTTTGGTTTGAGAATGTTGTTTGAACTTGTGGTTTAAGAATGTTGTTTGTACTCGATCGTAAACATGCATTTGAACAATTATGTAGTTAATTCAGTAATGTTGCAGTTTGTTGAATTTTATATTACATATGCTTATTTAGTTTATTCAGATTTGTTATCCGGTATATTCTGGTTTTATTCCGAAACGGTATCACAAATCTGCCGGTACGGTTTTTTCACAAAAAAATATTATTTATTTACAAAAACGGTATTTTGCCGGTACACAACGATTGAACCACGGTAGTACCACAAAATACCCTACCACTGGCGGAGCCGGTATGACTTCCGGTACGGTTTCCTTTACCATGGTAGAAACTGAAACGTTTTGGTGGCCTGGATACGTAAAAACGTAAGTTTTTACGTTTTAATGCGCGATTTTGACTGCACTAGTATAAAAAAATCAATATATAATAATAAATAATAATTATATTATAAAAAAATTATTATTATATAATAAAAATTATGATTATATAATAAAAATTATGATTATATAATACTACTTAAATAATAATTAATTATAACAACAATAATATCATTGGTCGAGCGACCTCGAAACTCGAAATCCAACTCGTACAGGGGCGGAGCTACACTCAAGGTAGGGTGGGCCCCGGCCCCTAGGATCGTAAGCATATTTAGTACAAATTTTATTAGTAGAACTTGTTCCGTAAATTCTATTGTGAAATAATCATATGGTCTAATGGTAGCCAAGCTTGACTTGTGTTTTAAAGCACACGGGTTTGATCCAACTTGGCTACATACATTTTTTTAAATTATTTTCGGGCCCCCGGTCTCGAAATTCTAGCTCCGCCCTTGAACTCGTAACTGGTCATCCTAAGGGGGTTCTCGTGCCTAATTTTAAACTGAATATGGTCAAACTTAGTCAAACACGTTCAAATCTGTAAGTTTTAACTATTTAGTCAAGTAAACTGATGAGTCAACTAAACTAGTCATCTCTATCTTTTCTACAAATGCTTCTTATCTTATCTCTAATTTTCAATGCAAACTCGAGTCAACCAAGAGATATTGATTTGACTAGAATAACATTGACAAACTTGTTATCGAAGTCAAACGGTCAACCCCGAACAACGTCTACATTAATGATAGCTGTAAGAAAAAGTTAATAATATTAATTATTATGTAATTTTAATATAATTAAAAAAATCCATAATTTCCTAGCTCCCCCTTCCTTCCTTCCCTTGCACCCCAATTCGGAGGGTAGGCCAAAATAGTGAATTTGCTCTCACGTTTTACAACCCCTACTGTTACAAAATAACCAAACAGGGGTAAACACCTTGAAACTTGCGTTTACCCCCAAGCTTGCAAATCCCCCCCCCCCCCCCCCCCCCCCTCATTTGCACCTCTTCCCAAACATAGAGTAATCCAGCTAAAGCGATTTGACTATGATATAATGTCTGATCATTAAGAGAAGTTGGATACTGAAATGGGTGTATGTCATACTATAGAGTTAACCGCAACTAATGGTGCTCATGTGGTGTATGTGTTGCATGTAGAGGTGGCAATCCACCATTCCAATCAATCCAATCCATTCACTTAAATATCCAACTAATACAATCCATCTGATCTAAATTCCATTGATGGATTCATAGATTGATCCATGGATCCAAATGAAAAATTACAATTCAGTACCTATACTTTTTATATTTTACATTTTGGTATCTAAAATTAATTTTTATGTGAAAAATACATTTTAGTACCTAAATATTTTTACTATAACATTTTAGTACCTAAACTTTTCAAAATTTACAATTTGGTCCAAAATTTTGAATGTCTTTTGGATTCATGGACAATCCACCAATCTATATGAACCAATCCATGAATCCACCAATCCAGTTGATCCAATCCATTTGATCCAATCCACGTGATCCATGGATACACCAATCTAGTCCACCAATCCACAAATACAATCCATTTGCTACCTCTGGTTGCATGGGGTGTCCAACCATCTTGGAAATACAATTCACAATGGACACTATATTGCATATTGCATCCATCCCAACTATAAGTGGATGGAGTTTAATAATGAAGTCGTCTGTGAAATCACCGAGAAGGAGATGGATCAGACTGTTACTCGAAATGGCTGTATTTTTTATATTAGTAGTGATTGTCAGTAGTCTTTTCTATCGTGATGTGATGATTAGCAGTTTAGCACTTTAACAAGTCTTCATATTTATTTACCGTGAACTATCCATATTTATTTGGAAAAGAACTCTTGTCATGTTAGGTGACACACCACATAAGAGAAGAAGACAAAACTTTGGGAAAAAAAAACATTGTAAATTTGATAGAACAAATATGGCAACAGACAACCTCTCAAATAAAATTTGATAATTAGGAAAATAATAGATGACTATCATAACTATATAATAAATATAATTGAAGAAAATAATGAATATTTAAGAACAATTTTAGAGTGTCAATGTAAAGGAAAAAAAAAGAATGCTACTCTGATTTAGTAGCAAAAGATATAGTTAATGTTTGAGCCAAGATACACCTTCCCACCTTTGCTTCAATACCGCGGCTACCCACGAGTCGAGCGCCTGGGACCTGCACTCACAAGCGCCTAAAGGGCTCTGGTCGGCCCGTTAGCACTCCAACGCTCAAGTCAGTGCACCTTTCTAGAGAGATAAGTGCTGGGAAAGATTTTAGTGAGAGAAGCCAACCTGCGTAAATGCTACCTACCGAGTACTATTTATACTTGCCGAGTTCCCAACGGTCCTCCTGGCATTTAAACCCACGTCATCCCCTCATTTAATGCATGATCCAGTACAATGGTCAGGCGCCTATACGTGGCCGCCTCAAAACACCCCAAAAGGGGGCGCCCAGCAGGGACCACACTCGCCAGGTGGCACCTTTCCTTGCTCGTCCTTCCGTACCACTTGTCTTCATGCTTCTTTTGTCGTCATGCGCCTGCCCTACGCGGGGAACCCTAACCTATTGTTTGGGCCTGTTTCACCATTCCATCCTCATGGGCTTGGGCCTATTCATACTTCCCCAACAATTGTCTCCCAGTTAGGTGCTCATAGTTAACAATGAGCGCCTAACTATGGACCGATAGGCCTACCTCTTTCTTAGCACGCCTTTCACAATCATGTCCCCATCCGTGTGCGCCTCTGCAGGCGCTTCCCTTATACGCTCTTGTCCCCCTGTGTCCACCACTATGCCGTCATCTAGGAACTCTTAAATGATTCTCCCCGTCGATTCCCCTACCCGTTTTTTGCCATTTCTCTCTACACCCACGAAACTCTCCGCCTACCTTTACCACGCTCTTTCAAGCGCCCATTTTCCTACCATCTCCATTTAGCAGACGCCTATTCATTTCCACCTAGCACCACCTAGCAGGCGCCTAACATTATACCCGCACCCCTCACCGTGCGGTTCGAATTTTGAATTTTGAATTTTGAATTTTGAATTTTGAATTTTTTTTCAAATTTGAAACGGACGGTGAGGATTTAATCTCAAGGTCGGGCGCGCATTCCAACATTTGCCCGTTGGGCTCCACTCCCATATAAATACGCCGGTCGCTTTCCTTTCAACTCATTCTTGCGAAATCTCTCTCTCTCTAACTCTCTCTCTCTCTAAACGCAGCCGCCTGTGCGGCTGTTGTAACATATAATAAAAGCCGACAATGTCTCGCCGATCCGATTCGGGCGCCCCCTCTTCTGATGCAACAAAGGACACCGGCTCGGCGCCTGATGTTCTTTCCGTTTTAGCGAAATATTTTTCTCCAGATCCACTTCGCGAGTCCGGCGGATGGACATCTTGTGCCAAGAATCAGGCGCCTACAAAGGATGACGCGACCATTGCAGCCGTTACTTTGGATGCCCCTGAGGCGCTTAGCATAAAGGAACCACTGGTCGAGGCGCAGGAGCCTCCTAGCTCGCAAGCGCCGGCAACCGATGTTGCGCCCAACGTGGCGGCGCCTTCAAACCCCACACTAAGTAAGTGGTTATGAGATCTAAATCGGCACTTTTTTTTAGGCGCCCATAGCCGCTAGGATTTAGCATTGATGCTGGCCGTTTCCTCAAACCTTTTAGGCGCTGCGCCCGGATCTCCCCCATCGACTGAATTAGTGATGTCGCCGATGTCATCTGATTCAGGCGCCACCGTTGATGGATCCGTCAAGATTAGGAGATGGGCGGATACCTTCCCATCGGGGCAGGCGCCCGTTGAGACCAGTCATTTGACCGTGATCAAAGCTGGTCCTGATCACGTTTCGACTATGAAGGCGCTTGAGTTAGAAAACTTGGCCATCTCCATGCAACTCCCCCTCACCTGGTCCTTCGCGCCCGCGCCCCGCGTGGCCCGAATTGGCGTGATTGGTCCCCGCTGGCTTGGCATTTACCGAGAATATTTTCGATTTGGGCTCCTCTTTCCTTTGGATTCGATCCTTGAAGGCATATTGTCTACATGCAAGTGCTCCATTGGGAGCCTATCTCCCTCCGTGTTTCTTATCCATATCCTATTTAGATTGAAGTGCCGGCAGCATAACGTCGAGCCCTCATTTAACCTCTTTCATTACTTCTTTAAAATGCAATATAGTGACAACTGTCTTTCACTTCAGAGGCGCCTAGACCTCCCCGGTCATTTCTTAGTAGAGGCGCCTAAGCTAGGTAGAGAGTGGTTTAAGAGCTTCTTTTTCATTAAACCACGTAAAGAGTCTTTTTACGAAAGCGGCGCCCCGTTCACGAGAGGATGGGTGATTGGTGACCACGAGGCGTTCAACGTCGAGGTAACCTTGACAAAAGCGGAGAAAGAAGGCGCACGACTTCTTTCTTTGCAACCTGTTTGCCTTAAGTCCACTGAGGCTCGGACGCATGTGCTACACGAGTATTATCGTGACGGTGGGCTTTTGCTTTTAATGCGCCTGTTCTCTTTCCTGATTGCTTTTCATGTTTGCTTAACAAGTTCCCTTTGTATTTGCTTGGCAGGTGCGGACTTCACCTCAGTTGCGTCCCTGATGAAGTCCCAGTTTGCAAAATTGGGTTTGGCGGCCAAGAAGGCGCCCAGCTCAAGAAAGGGTGCCAAAAAATCCGGAGGAACAAGCAAAGCCACCTCCTCAAAAGGTGTGACTTCCAACCATACCAAGTCTGCTGCTGCTGAAACACAGGCGCCTAAGCCTGCGGAGGTGAAGGGCACGGGGCGCCCATCCCGAAAGGGAAAATCTCCCAAAAGGGTTAAGCCAAAGAAGGTTCCCAGTCCTCTGGCGTCCGATGCGGTGGACGACACTATTGATACATGGGAGGCGCCCCATGCCATGGAGGCCACTGACGCCTCAGCGCCTGTTGTTGACTTGCTTCAGGGGGAGGATGTCCTCGAAGATGAAGTGCCCCTATCTCAGAGATTGAAGAGAAAGTTTGAGGGCGCCCAAAGTGAGTTGGGTAAGCGCCCACGTCTAGACGACGATGTGGAACTACCCGAGTCGATGCAAAAATGGCTTCAACCCCCGAAGCACAAAGTGACTCTAGTTTGCTCAGACCGCGCCGCATTGGAATGGAGCGCTGCCGTCCACATGGTGCTAGCTGCTGGAGATGCGCTCCGGACGCCCCTCGACTTAACGGGCGCTGATCCTTTGGCAGAAGTGTGTCGTATAAATGCCCAAGTAAGTAGTTCGTCCTTTATACTTTACGTTTTGTTCTTTCGACTATTCATTGACAAACGCACAATTATCGTACTTGCAGATGATGCTTGCTGCACAGAAAGCTATCAAGGAGCGAGAGGCCTTGCGCGTCGAGGCCACCGAAGCGACCACCTCTCGCGGCGTGTCCCAGGATAATCTCGAGACGGCGAGAAATCGTCAAGAAGAACTCATAAAGATGTGCGAAGATGCCCAACTTGAGGCCGCTAAGAGCGCCTCGCTTCTGCAGCGCACGGTGGATGAGGAAAAGGCGAAATTGCGCAAGGAGTATGAGGCGCAGATTGAGGAGGAAAAGAGGGCGCATGAGGAGACCAAGGTGAAGTTTGAAAAAGAGAAGCTCGATTTGGAAAAAGAGTCAGGAGCCTACAGGAGTGAGATCGACCTCTTTCGCCAAGAAAAGCGCACTCTGAAGAAAGATAAGAAGGTGCTGGGTAGAGACAACGAGAAGCAACAGAAGGAGATACAGGCGCTCCGAGAGGAGAAGAAGGTGCTTGAGGGTGAGAAGCAGGCGCTCGAAGCGCGGGCGGTGGAGGGCGCCCCATTTGATTCTACTCAGGCGCTTAAGGCTTCAACTTCTTTAAATAGCATTCTGATCTTGCGAAAGAAGTTGTTGGCCGATCATCCTGACATTGATTGGGATGTCGACTCTATGGTGAGTTTCATGATTTCCTATATGGAAAGAGGGCGCCCAATAGCAGACGAGGCACTTGATGATGATGGCGAAGGAAATAATGATGATGATGATGCTTCGTCTTCCGAGTCCGGCACCAGATCAGCCGTGTAGCCTATAGGCGCTTAGTGATTTTGCTTTATTGCTCATGTATCGAGTGGCACTTTTATTTCCCGTTTTTCCTTGCTTGAAGACGCCTTATGTTTGTCGATTAGACGTTCTGTTTTGCCTAAGTTATTTCTCTTTTCTTCCCCATGCCTTATGCTTGTCGATTAGATTTTTTTTCTTTTTTTTTTATCAATTTCAAGGGCGGAAAGAGGTGGGCGCTATACTGGGCACAATGGGGGGGGGGGAGGGGGGGGGGCGCTATATTGGGCGCGATGGGGTGGGCGCGAAGTCTTACCTCCTTAATACCAACATTCATATATAATAATTAATCTGATACTGAAAAGTATGGGCGCAAAATGAGGGCGCTTTACTGACAAGGGCGGGCGCAAAATTGGGCGCTTTGGAAAACAAGACACAAAAGAAAAAATGTAACTCCGCCGCAGGATAAACTAGCTCTGCCGATTCATTTGCCAGTAGGCGCCTGTTCTTCTGCCCCTGACATGGTGCTGACCTCTACTCCAACATCACTTTCACTAATATCTTACCCCGACGCCTCATATTTTCGCAAATTTTGCGCATTCCATATCCTCTTGACCTTTTTGCCTGATAAGTGCTCTAACTTGAATGTATTTGGACCAATGACCTCCTGGACGCAGTATGGTCCTTTCCACTATGGGGCCAACTTCCCTTCGACGGCTTTTGGGCGGAAATCACGTCTTAGAACAAGGCTACCTATGACAATGTTGTGCGCCTTCATCTTCTTGTTGTAGTACCTTGCCACCTGACTTTTCATTGCTTCCAACCGTAATGCCGCCGTTTCTCGGCGCTCATCCAACAGGTCCAATTCATCAACGCGCTCTTGGGCATCCATGGACTCGCTTCGGTGGGTCATCCTGAAAGTTGGCACGCGCATCTCCACTGGCAAGACCGCTTCGCTACCGTAAGTTAGCGCAAAGGGTGTTTCGCTCGTTGCCACCTTGAAGGTAGTCCTATGCGCCCACAGAACACTTGGTAGTTCCTCCACCCATCTTCCCTTGGCCTCCGTGAGCCTTGTGTGCAAACCGTGCAATATACTCTTGTTAGCTGCTTCGGCTTGTCCGTTGGCTTGCGGGTAAGTTACGGAAGAGAACCTTAAGACAACTCCATTCTCATCACAGAATTCAATGAACTTTTTGTAATCAAATTGCTTCCCATGGTCAGTGATGATGGATTCCGGGAGCCCGAAACGTGTAAAGATGTTCTTTCTTGTAAACTTCCGCACTTGTGCCTCAGTGATTGAGGCCAACGGTTCCGCTTCAATCCACTTGGTGAAGTAATCGACCGCGACGATTAAGTACTTGAACTGACCAGGCGCTTTTGGAAATGGGCCCAATAGGTCCATGCCCCACTGAGTAAAGGGCCACGCACCTACGTTGCCTTGCATGGGTGCAGCTGGGAGATGTATATCGTTAGCATGAATCTGGCATTGGTGGCATGCTGCCACATGTTTCCTAGCGTCTTCTCGCATTGTTGGCCAGTAGTATCCCTGACGGAGCAAAACCTTCTCCAAACTACGGGCGCCTGCATGCATGCCGCATGTTCCCTGGTCCACCTCGTTGATCGCCTCCAGCCCTTAACCCTCAGTAAGGCATCTTAGGTAGGCGCCTGAATGTGACCTCTTGTATAACATGCCATCCACGATGGTGCATCGAGCTGCCTTTCGACGCAGGCGCCACGCCTCCTTTGGGTTCTCTAGAACAATCCCTTGTGTTAGAAAGAGCCAAATGGGCGCCATCCATCCTTCCTGAGCTCCCGGCAAGATGGAGGCCATTATCATTTCTTCTCGTGGGACTTCCTTTGCGACGATAACCGTCTGATTTGCTTCAAAGTCCAAAGTCGTGGCCAACTTAGATAAGGCATCTGCATGAGCATTCTCTTCCCTCGGGACGTGCGTGAAAGTCACCTCTCGAAACCAGGCACACTTTTTTCGAACAGACTGCACATAGGCGCACAGAGCTTCTTCTTTCACTTCATAAACCTCATTCAACTGATTAACCACCAACGCCGAATCAGTCATGATGCTGACCTCTTGGGCGCCTAACTCCCTTGCGTAATGGAGCCCCGCTAGAACGACCTCATACTCAGCAGCGTTGTTCGTTTTGAGGGTCGCAAAACGTAGCGCTATTTCATGGAGGGCGCCCAACGGGCTAATGAGAACAATGCCAGCCACAGCGCCTGCTCGACTCGCTGCTCCATCCACATGAACCTGCCAACATTCTTCGACGTCCGGTCCCCCATCAGCTACACCTTCAGCCATGAAGTCCGCCAAAACCTGAGCCTTAATAGCAGGTCGGGGCGCATAGTTTATATCAAACTCACTCAGCTGCACGACCCATTTTACTAGGCGCCCAGACACATCCATTGATCCAAAAACCGTTCTCAGTGGCAGGTTGGTGAGTACCACAATGCTATGAGCCTGAAAGTAAGGTCTGAGCTTGTTGGCCGCCATAACTACCGCCAGGGCTGCCTTCTCTATGGGCGCATATCGTGTTTCATGGCCCACCATGGTGCGACTAACGTAATATACTG